ATTATTCTAGATAATATATATAAACTAAATGAATATTAAAGAACCAACTAGATGAATTTATATATAAACTGAATGAATATTAAAGAACTAACTAGATGAATGTATATTGTGTATATAAACTAGATGAATGTATATATAAACTAAATGAACTAGATTTTGCTACACTACACACCTGTGGATTTATTATTAGAATTCAGCTGTTCTATAATAGAAGTGGGAGGTCTACCAGGTCTTTTATCTTTATCCTGATTAATACAAATAAATAAATTATTTTATTAAAACAGTTAGAACCAGAAAACTTTGGAATATTTGTCGTCTTTATTATTACATTCTTACATCTGTTCTCTATTTATTCTACATCTATCTTACATATTTTTAACATTCTGCATCTATTAAACATGTTATCTACATATATTCGTTTTGTTTTCTTTTATGGGATTTTTTTTCATCATTACTTTCATTAACTTTTGTTCAAAAGAATACTAATAGTGAAATGATATTAATGTTTAGTCTTTAATCCAGTTGAAAGCAAGACCCGCCGGAAACAACAAATATTATGAGTCATTTTTCAGTTAATAGATAAGCACGGACAACGAAGGTTTAGAGTCATATATTGAAAATGTTACATTGTTTGAAGAGACTTACAGAACAAATTCAGTAAAAATACTTGAACTACGTAGTTCAAGTAGGCTCAGTTGAACCACTTCCCAACTTGAACAGAAGAGAAATATAATTGTCCCTCCAACCTATAACTCCTGTGGAAGGAGTTTAACAAAGTTGTCTAGGAATGTAATTGTCCCTCCTACCTCTTCTATCTCCGGTGGAAGGAGTTTAACAAAATTGTCTAGGAATATAATTGTCCCTCCTACCTCTTCTATCTCATGTGGAAGGAGTTTAACAAAATTGTCTAGGAATATAATTGTCCCCCCTACCTCTTCTATCTCCGGTGGAAGGAGTTAAACAAAATTGTCTAGGAATATAATTGTCCCTCCTACCTCTTCTATCTCCGGTGGAAGGAGTTAAACAAAGTTGTTTAGGAATATAATTGTCCCTCCTACCTCTTCTATCTCCGGTGGAAGGAGTTTAACAAAGTTGTCTGGTAATATAATTGTCCCTCCTACCTCTTCTAACTCCGGTGGAAGGAGTTAAACAAAGTTGTCTAGGAATATAATTGTCCCTCCTACCTCTTCTATCTCCGGTGGAAGAAGTTTAACAAAATTGTCTGGGAAAACTCCCACTCTTCCATCCAGCTCTCCCTTCCACCAACCCTTATCTTCAACATCCCTATAATTAACATGATAAATAAATACTGATGAAAAAAACCATGATCTTACTAAATGTTTTTCTGCGCGTAGGCTGATTTGTTCTAACCACTAAAGAAGAACCGCCATTAAGAGAGGGATTGACCAAATTTTGAAATGTGAAACACGTCTTTTTGGACTCTAATTATGATCTTAAATAGTGCTATGTAGAATGCAATTGTCCAATTTACATGGTGTATAAATTGCAATTTAACTTAATAAAATTAAAGTGTCTAGCTTCTGGTAAAACTATTTACTTTACAGAAACATAAAATACACAGAAGATTGCTAAAATTAGTTCCTAATCTGTCATAAAACATAACGACCAAAAAAAATGTAATTTTTCAAAGGACTTTGGACGGACTTTGGACGAAATTCAAGTCCAATTCATCTATTAAGAGGCATGTCTGTTTCACAAAGGTACCCATTAAAGCTTAATCTGATAATGAATGATAAACCCTCGTTTTCTGTGGGAAAATTGATTATTTTCAACTGTGGTTTTATAAGTGACTTATTTTACAGGCAAAGGTTTATGAGTGGAAAATGGCACTCGATAAATGTATGATGATCACTAAATCACTTGAAATTACGTCAACTAACCTAGTCACAATGGAAATAATCTGTCCCTCATCTAAAGTCAGCTCGTCTTCATTTTGAGCTGTGTACGGGAACAGAACAAGGCATTGCTCTTTCACTGAAAAAAAAATCCATTAAATCACATGGCAAATGGAAACTACAGAAGATATAAAATAAGTGGTGCATGCAGTTAAAACCGTTCAAATATAGAGATTCTAAAGAAGAAAGGAGAGCGACTAATACAAATATTTGATTAAATCTAAAATTTTATTACCTGGTCTTTTTTTAGACATCATGCAGTACGGTACAGTACAGTATTCATGCAATAAAACTAAGTGCAGTGCAGGTAACTGTACACTTGTACAGTCTTACACACAAAGAAGTAAAAGAAAACACTAAGTTTAAGGCTGCATCATGATGAAACCGTTTGAAAAACGATAAAAAAGTAAAATTGACTACATACAATTTTTCACTTATTCTATTACAGTTGAGGGAACCCTGAACACAAACAGTCATGAATGTCGTGAACTAACTGTTAAGAAGTGAAGGTTATATTTCAACTTATCAGTATTGTCCAGGGACTAGAGAACAATCAACTTAGAATTGATAAGCAAGCATATTCTGCAATGAGCACTCAACACTAACAGGGATAATTTATTTCTAAAAAATTAAATTTCGACTGATTTAATTGAAATGATAAGACTTGAAGTTGTAAAGTATATCTATCCAGATTGTGAGTAATACATTAAGTAAACAACGTGTTAGTGAAACTAAGCAAAGATAAGCGTCATATACTTTTTTCCCTAATAATATTAGAAAAATTATAGATCTAAAATAAATCAAAAAAAGTTTATAAATAAATTTCGAATTTATGATTGTTTGAATTCTGAGCAGGGGTCCCACTGTTTGTTAGACATTAATTGGTCTCAGTTATTCTCTATTGAATGTATAAACAACAATAAGAGACAAAACTACAGAATTGTAGCAGTTATTTTTTTTTGGATTAAAAAATGTGTAAGCAATCTAATTAAAAATCCTCCCCTGCAGACTAAATTTTATTTTAACAATTTACTTAATACAAATGACCAACATGGGTGGGGGGTTGTATTAATGACTAAAACGTGAATTTTAACATTTTTTTAATATTTCATTTACCACTTGACTAACTTCAAAGTAAAAGTATTAAAAATGTCAATTAAACTAGAAATTATTTCAACTCTAAAACCTAAATTTATTATCTACTCTTAAAGTAACAAAGTAAGAAACTCATTAACTCAAAAAATAATGCTAAGATTTACTCAATTTTAATCAATCTTTCAACATACTTTTAAAACAAAGTAACTGTTATTTAACCCGAAAACTCACTTAACAAAGCAAGTGAAAACTAAAATTAAATCAATGACACGCTTATTCACTAAGTACACACTGTTAAAATATGAGTTAATTTAAATTAACTGACTTAATAATGTGATTGACCCATTTACTCACTGAGTTTACTATTAACAGATTTAATAATGTAATTAACCCTTTAACTCACTGAGTTTACTAATAACTGACTTAATAATGTAATTAACCCTTTAACTCACTGAGTATATTGATGTCTTGTATTGAATGAGTGTATGAACCCCAACTGTGTTAAGTCTATATATGAGAGCAGTAGATTTACTCAAACAGGTGTTCAATNATTGCATCTGAAGACACTTTTTTTACAGAATATTTAACTAATATTAAAAAATATTGATTAATAAGCAAAATGATGAATTAAACTGCAAACTGGTTAAAGGTAGTTTATTCTTTGATACGTCAATTTTCATCACAGATTTAGGTTTAAAAACGTGGAAAAAATATTTTCACAGATTTGGGTTTAAAAACGAGTAGAAAATATATTCACAGATTTGGGTTTAAGAACGAGTAGAAAATATATTCACAGATTTGGGTTTAAAAACGAGTAGAAAATATATTCACAGATTACTCAAGTCAGATTTTCAACGGATTTATAAAAAAGAATTTAAAACTTATTTTCTTTGGCGTTACTACAACAGGTGAATTTAAAGAGTAAAGGCTTCGAAAAATCGAAAAAAAATTATATGACCAAAATAGCCTCGATTTTTAACAGATATTGGTAATTTTCAGATATTATCTCGAGGCTGCGAGTTAGATTTTCCAGATAACAAGATTCAATTTAAAAACATTGGACAATCAGATCTCTGTGACTTGAACTTTTTTAAGCCGAACAATGCTGTCTGGCGGATTCCAGGTAACGAACGGATTGGTTCGAATCCAGGTTCTAGGTTTAGTCTCCTCAGGTCTAAACAACTTCTCAGTGGGGTCACATGTGTCTGCAGGGACTTCTCTCTCCTCCTGTCACAATTCAAAGTATTAACTTTTTTTTATTATTTTTGGTTTGCAGGGAAAATATTATGTTAACCCCAACAACTAACTTAGGTCTTTCTCTTATTGGTCAAAGATGAAAAATTGCATTTTTTTATTCAACCAATGAGCTTTGAGAGTCTTTGAGAGCTCGAATCAATTTTATAAACCTAAAAGGTTGATTATTCAGAACATGCTAGCTCAGGGCCAATGAAAATAAAATAAACCCCTTTTCTCAAAATTAACCAAAATTGCTTTCAGCTGATAAGAATTATTCTAGATAATTGAACAGCCCTGAATAGGTTCGAACTGAAGATCTTGAGATTGCTCCCGGGATTGTCTCTGGGATAGCTCCTGAGAACGGTCTTGATCCTGATTTTCCTGTGACTGCAGACAGAATATACTGTTGAACACTTCATCTGTTAGATCTCCAACAGATCCAAAGAAACTAAAGAAACTCGAGTTTATTTCCAAGGTTTTGAGTATGGTTGATATTAACACTGGACAAAATTCTTAGTTGTGAATATGGCTGATGTTACAATGTATCAAGGGTTGATAAGGATCATGTTAGGGCCGGTCTTTATCCTGTGTTGGGGACAGTTCTAAGGATTGGGAAACACGAAACCCCTAGAGGCAAAAGAGCGGATCAAAAGAACTTTTTGCTCTCAAAACACAAATCTTAACTGTTGTCTAATGAAGATTATAAAAATCTTTTTAATCTCTGACTGGTCCATCAAGTTTCAGCATTAAATTAACAGGGAAAAAAATTATGAAAATTTTTTATTTGTTTGAAAAAAAAATCAGTAAATCTTTAAAAATCATGACTTGGATCCAGATCCTTTTTTCTTCATACCGGATCCAGCATCAATATGAAATATATCCTAAGTACTAATTGAGATTGAGGTATGTTGTTAGGCCCAGTTTTAAATCTGGGTTCTGAGTATGGTTAATGTTCAGACCTGTCTATATCTTGGGTAGTTGGTAAGGTTTCACTGTTGATCAACGAATCCCAAGCAACTCCACTGTCTTCACTTTGAGGGCGGCCTTAGTGTTTCAAAAATTATCTTTAAAACCCTTTTAATTTTAAAAATGGCCAAACCATTTTAGTATCAAAATAACATATAAGATAATATTTGAAGAATTCCTGTTGGAAATGAATCTGGGAAGTCTTTGCTCCAATCTTGATTCTGATCTTCAAACCTGGATGTTTCTGATCCAGATGTACTCCTAGTCTCGAGGGTGTCTGTAGGACCCCTTGGGGTGGGCCTAGAACTAGAGTGCCTTGGAGGATTGTACTTTAGTTTCAAAGATTTAGTCTTTCTTGGTTTAGGTTTCAGCTCCTTAGAAAAAGCATCATTTTTCAAAGAAAAATTTTTATCATTCATGAACCTTCTGCCATGGGCTTTATATATTCCAAGGTTGTTTGAATTAAAAAAGGGTCCACCAAAATCTGAGAAAAAAATAATTGTTCAAGTTTGAAACTTTGCTGTTATTACATATGGGAGAATATTTACCCTTACTTAACCCTATTCAAGCTGGGGGGGAGGGTCCCCGGGACCTCCCATTCCGTTTTTTGGAGATAGTCAAAAAGTATTGGTCTGAGGCTGCTCAAATTTTTTGACTTTTCTAACACTAACAAATGCCCCTAACATTATTCTTAAAGCGGGGCTTTTTATACCAACTGCCTGAGTTCTCAGGCATACTGGCTGAATGCCTTACTTTATCTTTACCCGACTAAATCTATATTTAGACCTACTTATGGTCATTGGGTTTTGACATTTTATAGCTCTTAAGAAAGCATTCAACAAAAGGAAGCAGATGATTGCACATTTTTTTAGAAGAAATTTTGCATAGATTTTCGCATAGATGCCTTTAAAGAGAATTTGCACATTTTAGTTTTCCTTGAATACAAATTAAGTTATTGAAATTTTGCAAATATTTTGCATATTTAAGCTCACCGTGGTAAGGGCTTTAAAAAATGTATAATTTATCGTATTTTTCGCATTATTTGCTTAATAATTTGATATTGCAATAAATGTGAATTCTTGAAAATTTGCTAATCTTTTTTGCAGATTATCGAAGTAAAGCTCGAGGGCTTTCCAAAAATGTATCTTATATTATAGATTTATATCACAATACGACTATTTTGAGTAAACCAGACGTCAGCCTGAATAGGGTTAAATTATAAAATATAACAACCCAAACAACTGCTTAACATTTTTGTTGTTAATTTTTAAAAAGCAAAAAAAACTGTAATTGCTACATAAACAATGTTTAAGTCATACTAAGGAATTTGGCAAAAACTTTAAAATACGATGTTATGCCTGAAATACCCAGCTGCTACTTGTTTCTGGATCTTGGCTACTTGTGGAAGATACAGGGACTTTCCTTTTTTAGAAATCCACAATTTATTAAATTGGGTAAGTAATGGAAACTTTACTTCAACCAACCAAGAGAATACAGGGAGTATTTAGAGGATCTGAAAGCCCTTCAGATTGGAGAACTCAAGACTGCAAAAGATGAGGGAACTTACAGACCATCTCTTACTGAAATAGCTCTACCATAATAAGTATCGGGTCNATTTTGGTTGAACAACAAATATAAATGTGAATCCCTGGCGTCAGATCTGTTCTGAGGGGTGGAGGACTGGAACATATTAACAGCTACAATGGTGGAGGAGGCATCAGTAGGCTGATTGGTTTCACAATAGAGGTGCGGCTGATCACAGCTAAACCTTTGTTTGAAAGAATAGGATTGGGGTTCTACAGGATAAAGGTGGGCCTGGTTCACATTTGAATCGGAAGGCATCTTCTCCCAGCTATGAGAAAGCCGTCCTGAATCTTTTTGTTCTTTGAGACATACAGTTGAGCGCTCAATCTACCATAGCAATCCAAATTCAAAAAATTAAAAAACTTCATATATTGATTCTACCTTTAAGAACTAATGATATAAATTAAAATTTTCCATTTAAATTTGCGCATTTTCCTTAAGATTGTATTTTGAATTATTGGTTGCAGGAGAAACCTTCTTGATGAAGGCAGCAAAACTGATAACATAATCAGTCACAAATGCTTAACAATGCTTTAGGGCAAAATATTAAAAGTAAGAAAAAATGTTTGTAATGTTTAGTGAATGTTGTAGTACGACAGAAATAAAAATAAAAAACAACTTTTAACTTTGCCAAGAGTTTACTTTACAGCCCAGAAACAATATCTCATCAATACTTTAAACTAGCAATATTTTAATGTAACTTTCCTGCTTCTTCGAGTAACAGGAGATTGCACATTGGAGTTACGAGATTCCAAATGTCCAACACTCAACCTTTTGCAATGCCATGTATAGGATTTTTTTCATCAAAATTCTTATTAAATGTTATGAATATTGAAGTGCCTTTTTGTTGCCAAGGCTACATATAATTCCTTAGTAACTAAATTTTCAATGCCTCTTACATGCCAAAGGCTAGGAGACTTGCATTCTTATTTTATTTGGCCTTTTTACAATTGTCTTTTGGGAGAATTATATTTATTGATAGGCTTTAAATTCATTAAAAATGACATTACAAAAATGGGAGGAAATTAATATATATATATTCCTGCTTTTGCTCCTTGAGAGAAAACTAAGCTTTCCTTTACTTCCAAATGAGGTTCTAAGTCTGTTAAAGCAATATTCATGTTGTATTTCTCACAACATTTTTAAGTAGTAAGATAATCTTAAATACATGAAAACTTTTATCCTTTCTGTATTATTACTTATACCATTTTTGAAATTTTTGAGAAGTAAATATGCAGGTTAAAGTGACTTATTGCCATTCTAATTAGTAAAAAAATAATTTCAGATCATTTGCTATTTCAAGCCTTTAAAAATTTCTATATTATTAGAAGAAACGAATATTTATCAGATTCCTGGAGAAGAATCCAGATTTAGTTTGGTCTGAAGGTTGAAGGGAACCTCTTCGTTCAGGTAGAACTGATAGTGGAGTACTGTAGTTACTGTAGTGAGACAAGGAACCACGGTGTTCCTGGATATTCCGTTTTAACTCAGGGCATTCAAGGTTGTTCAAAAAGTACGGGTTAGGATAAAATATTCATAAAAATTTAACGGGAATTTTAGTTTATCAGGGTTTAATAAAACCAGATTTGATCTAGGCATTCTTTGATATTGTACAAACCAATTATTCCTGTTCTTGTGTAGTTTATATACACCTGTATTTGATATTGTACAAACCAATTATTCCTCTTCTTGTGTAGTTTATGTACACCTGTATTTTGGTAGATAGGCTTCCGAACATACGGCTCAAGGGTTCACCATCCAGATCAACACAATATCTTGAAGTTGGGACATTTATATTCAAACTTAAGATGTCACAAACTCTTTTTTAGATAATTCTAAAATTATGAATGTCTTGCTTGAGATTGTTGAAACATTAAAGTACATTAGTGTTGTTTAAACACAGAACAGATAAATCTTAAGTTGAAGTAAATACTATTGCAAGCAACTATCTACTAGAGAAATACATGTTTTAGTAGAACTAGAAAACCTATTTAATCCATTCATAGATATTTTTGGCTTTCAAGAGGTTTCCAAAGTTTCTGAGCAAATTGGCATCTTAAAACTTTTCTTTTTTGCATTATGCATGATTTTTACCCTTATTTTGGGCTTAAATTAGAGTTTAACCCATTGGTTAATGAGCAGATATTTTTGTTCTACTTAAATCAATCTTCTACATCTTCTGCTAGAATCAAAATTTAGCATGATTTAAGTAAACTATTAGAGAATATACTTGGGAAAGATATTGCTATGAAACCTCTTGTCAGGCAAACAACTCAAACGCAAGAACGGATCAATAGGTTACCCAGCTCTGGGTGTAAGTAACAAGCAAACAGTAAAACAAGTTTACAATTACCTCTGATCAGATCTACAAGGTGGGAAAGGATGCAGTTGAGGCACACTGGTTTTTTCTAAAAGGGTTGAAAACTTTTGGGGAATATATTTGCTTGTTAAGTACTGTGTGTGCTTGATCTACATTAAACCATTTGTACGAGTTTTGAGAGTTATAATTTACCAAAAAATGCTCAAAAGTTGCTCAGGCCCAAAACAGAAAATGAGCTTAAGAATTGCAAAAGATAAACAATTTATGGTTAATGAACTCAACAAGCTCATACGAATGATTGAAGCATTCCACCAAAAGTATCCAAAATGTGGGAAAAGAAAGAGTGATAAAAGAAGTGCTACATGACAGTAAAGTACAGCAGTGTACAACTCTTCATGCAATGTTTATTGTCACAATAAGTGTTAAGATTAAGAATACTCAATATATTTTTAATCATATTCCTCATTTAAAAAGCATAAGTTTACTAGTTTAGTGAGTGTATAAATCATGTGAATAATTCAAATGGATTGATCAGATAATTTACTTATGATTGTAAAATAAAAGATAAGAAAATTAAATTTTAGTTTTGTTGTCTCCATAATATGATTTACTCAGAGGGGCAATATTGATAAAAGGTTTGTTTTGTGAGTATTTAAATATCTGAACAATTCATTTAAAATATTGGAGCTGCTACCTGGTTTGGGAGGTAAGCGAGGAGCTGTATCAGGAGCTGCTCCTGTATTCCGTAGCTGTCTTTCTGATGTTGCCATACTACTATTGCTGTTCTTCTTCCCTTTAGAAGAGAATTTTTGAAAATAAGTTTATTAGACTCTAAGATAAAATACTTTGTTAAAACTTATTTATCTAAGCAAGATTTTGGTTCTAAAGATATTTTAATTTCAACTTTCATGTGCTTTCTCTGCAGAGATCGGTAATAACTAGATTTGTTTTAGTAAGGTTCTCACCACAAAAAATTATAAAGAACCAAAAAAAATTGTAAGGAACCACAAAATATTGTAAAGAACCACAAAATATTGTAAAGAACCACAAAATATTGTAAAGAACCACAAAATATTGTTAAGAACCACAAAATATTGTAAAGAACCACAAAATATTGTAAAGAACCACAAAATTAAAGGAAAAACGATTTTTTTTATCATGTTACGGTTTGTTTTTTGCCATAGAGGAAGGACCGCAAATGTTTAAAATAAACAAATTTTAAAATTATATTAAGATTCAAGGAAAACGCAAAATCCGCAAATCTCAAACCATGCTTTATGTATAGATAAGGTCTGTTATTTCTATTCCCTCTACTTACAATGTCTTAAAGAGCGGCAGGTGCCAATATTAAGCTCATTTTCGTGTGATGTGCTTAAATTCAGCATAGTCATTGCAATTTCAGAGTTTCACAAGACTTGTTAACAATGATATACTAAAGACTAGAAGTGTACACTGACAAAACTCTTTTATCGTGTCCTTTCCTAATATCAAGTTACAAGTAAGGATAATAATTCAGACAAAAAAACGATCAGCTAAATGACCCAGATTTATTCTGGACTAATTTAATTTACAACTGGCTAAATCAATTTTTCTTCTTGATTTTAATATTAAAGGATACATTTTAATTTCTAGAGAAAAAAATCAAAATGAGTGTTGTTCAAGTAAAATCTATTTTATATATATCGCTATAAACATCGATTCTGATGTAAGGTTCTTTTCCAAAGGCTTTTTCCCAAGCGCCAACTTTCCATGGGTATTTTCCCAAGTGGAAACTTCCCAACTGTGCAATTTCCCAAGTCTGTCCTAGCTGTTGCGCTCGGTCCCCCTAGTCATCCTAGCCATAGCGCTTGGCCCCCATTGCTGCTTGCGACGCCTCAGAAGGCAAAACCTAACCTTTGGAAGTTTCTGCTAGGTAAATTGCCACTTGGGAAGGCGCCCTTGGGAAAAAACTTTGATTCTTACATAATAAAGTACGGAATTTTCCTTCAAAAATAATTCAAGAGAACTACCTGTTAAAGTACTAGGTGAGTCCATCTTGTCAGACTCTGAACCAGAAAAAACTGAATTATTTAATCCTGAACAAAATAATTTTCAAGTTCCTTTTTAATATAACAGTAGTTTTACAACTTCAAACTAAAAAAAATTCTAACCAACTATTATTTTACTTCCAGAGACATTGAAAGGAGCTGTAGACATAATTTCAACTGACCCTTCTTTCACAAAATGGCATGTCCAATTCACAAAGGTAAACTGTAGACCTTGATGGATGAAGGGTGAATGAACTCTTCTTGCTTTTCTAACTGAAAATTGATCCGGTCCAATCATGGTTTTTTCTATTAGTGACTAGCAGATATAAATGTGAAAAATGCAGCATTATCAAAACCGTCCAAACATTTTTTAGGACCAATCATGTCCAGGGGAGGTCTTTAGTATCAATATTTTAAAAATTTACGTTGAAAGGCAAGTTAAAATTTTGTCTGATAATTTATTACCCAAAAATATCAAAATTTTACCTAATGAATTCTTTTTGTTTTTCTCTTGGACAGTAACTGCATGGCTAGGCTTGTTATCACAGTCTGTATTGCACATCTAGAAAGGATATTATAATTTTTTTTTTTACCAAACATTTATACTTTTTAAATCTATTTAACAGATAAATAAACTAAATATACATTAAAAATGATCAGAACATTCTTTAATATTTGTTACTAGCTAAAGTACCCGACGTTGCCCAGGTTTGTAACATTATTCTAAGTCATAGTTACTCCAGCCGTTTACCCGCGCTTGCAATCATATAATGATTTCATTATTATGACACGGAGCGCTTGGCATCAAATAATAAATTCATGATAATGACACGGAAATCCACCTCTTAGATATGAACAATGAACATGGAGTATAATTTAACTGGAAAATCAAGCAAACTGAAATAAAAAATTTCCCAGTTGCCCTAAAGATTGTTAAAAAAAGGAACATTGTGTAGGTAATAAATAATAAAAAGATGTGAAAATGCCATTCAATCAAGTTATATTATATAAAAATATATATTTGTAAATATATGAGCGAAGAGCTTTATTATTTTAATGAATAAATGCCAATTAATTTTGCATTACTAAGCCTGAACTTAGTGAATAAAAGACATCATTCAAGGAGAATAAAATGCCAAACTTGATGCAAAAATGGTACTGAAGATTTATTTTTCATTGCAAAACATTACTAGTTCATTAACTCCATACCTTGATTCCAATTTATTTGTTTCCTTACCTCTACAAAGTTTGATGGGAAGACTCCAACCCGTCCTTTACTCCTTCCTTTCCACCAACCATCCTCTACCTCACATATATACTCTATCTTCTCATCCACCTTAATTATTAATAAATCAATCAATCAACCAATCAATCTAGCGATTAATCAATTAATCAATCAACATATCAATCGGTCAATCAACCAACCAAGCGATCAATCTTTCAATCAATCAACTTTCGTAAACACATATTCAAGTTAAAACAAAAAATTGTAGTTCATGAAATATGTTTACGAACTTTAACATTAGGGCCAGCGCACATGTAGTGGTTTTAAATTTTGGACGTTGGAGAAGTTACGCAAAGGAAGTGGTTTATTGGAAAATTTATAACATAAATTGTCACTTGCTAAATTATTACAATTTGAAAAAATTTCTTTTCCTAGATTGATTCAAAATCCTAATTTAACTCTGACTAACCTCAAGCGCTAGCTCGTCTTCGTGTGTAGGTGTGTAAGAGAAGAGAACTTTACATCTAGGTTTAGTTTTAGATCCTTCATCCTCCCCCTTCATAGGGTGCACGCTACCTCCTCCAGGTAAAACCTTAACATACATATATTAAAGGGAGTGAACGCGTAATTTCAAGTGACCCCCAATGCAACGATGGCAATGCCCAATTTATAAGTTACAACGGTACCCTTGAAAGCTTTGTCTGATCAAGTATGAATTAGATATCAATGATTTTGTTTCTTTAAACTGCTTACTTTAATTTGCGGTTTCTCAGGGAAAGTGATTTGCGCATTTCTTGCTTGTACGAAGCAATGGAGGAAATCGGAGAAATAAACACTTTCGAGTCAGAAAAAAGACAGGGTCAGAATTAAGCAAGGGTACCGTTGAAAATTGGGAATTGTCATCTTTGAATGGATGGACACTTTAAATGAATTTTTCAATCTTAAAAAAAAGATTAGGTAATAGGTATGTTATTCTTTTGGCAAAATTTGAATTGGATATTTTATTGCGGAAATATTTATACACAATGATGGCATATTTGGAAGATTTAGATTTTTTTACGTTTTATGTAGGAACTATAAAGATGCTTTTAAAATGTATAAATTTTAGTTGATAAGTCCTGGTCAATTTCATAGATTTATGTTCATTCTTAGATTTTTTAAAGATTATGAACAAAACTCTTAGACTAAGTTAGTTTCTGATCTGAATTGATCCATAAACCTTGAAAACAAACCATGAACAAAAACTTATGAACAATGAGTATACAAGGAGCTGAGCTATATATTCTATAACTTTATAATTCAAAGTACACTTTACAATGAACAATGAACATATACGGAGCTATCTGGTATAACTCACTGCTTTATAGTACAATTAAAAAAAGAAAATTAAAGAAAAGAACTATAAAAAAGCGTTTAAAAGCATGTTCATAACAATAAAAACATGTTAAAAAACAAACAATGAACAACGAACATTGAAAACCTATGCAGTTTTCTGATGCAACGTATCGCTTTATAGGACAGTTTAAAAAATAAGAAAAAAACTGTAAAAAATATTTTAACCTTCATAACCTTTGGACCCAAACCATTAACATTGAACAATAACCTAAATGCAGTTTTCTGGTGCAACTTACTGCTTTATTGTACAGTTTAAAAAATAAGACAAAAATTGAAGAAAAAAACTGAAATTTAAAAAGCATGTTAATTAAACTTAGAGCAAACAATCAACATTAAACAATGAACCAAAATTCAGGATTCTAGTGCAACTTATTGCTTTATTGTACAGTTTAAAAAATAAAACAAAAATTAAAGAAAAAAACTGAAAATTAAAAAGCATGTTAATTAAACTTAGAGCAAACAATTACTTTGAAGAATTGAATTGAAAATATTGAAAACTGTTTTATTCTGCAAACAAGCGTCTGTAATTTTAAATATATAATTTATCATTGGTTTTCTCCCATGACCTTAATTCGTTCATATATTACTACTATTTAACCTGTCAACTTGTTCCTAATATACATTAATATCATTACTGTTATCTTTATTATTATCATTTAAACTATCTATAATATTAAAATCATTATAATTTTTATTACTATTATTATTTTTATCATTATTATTATCATCATTATTATCATCATTATTATCATTTTTATTATAACTATTATTAGCATTATTATTATAATTATTATGAACATTGCTACTATCACTATTACTATCATAATCATTATCATTATCATTATTATTTTCATTATTATTACGATTATTATTATCATTGTTATTATAATTTTCAAAGAACTGTTAATCATTTGAAATATTAAATCAAGAACATACATTTTAGAACATAGTTAAACATATATAGTTAAACGAGGCATTAAATATGTTTCCAGTTAACTTTTTATGACATAACTATTTTCGACCCATTTCTTTTTCTACTAATCAATTCATATTTTGATCATGTTTGATAACACCCCCCCCTCATACACAAAAAATCCTGTCACAAACCACAAATAAAACCACGGCATGGCAATGAATTTAGTTTCTCATGTTTTGATATGCGTATGTTGACGAATACGCAATACGCATACCATGCTAGGAGATATTTCACAGGGCCCGGATAAGAAATATAATTTGACGCAAATTTTGTATTTTATCAAACGCATTCAATGCATTTAAAATGTGAACGCTATCTTCCAATGCAAATATTTCAAGATACAATGGTGGATATTTTGTAGCCAAATGTTCTGTTTTGACACAATTTTCTTTCAAATTACTTATAGATTTCTTTTGTAAAGGAGCTGTTCACGAAAATCAAAAAGGTTAATAAGAAGTTATTATTGAATATTGTAATATTGAAAATTCGGGAAGAGTATTCTGATCTTTATTAATAGGTGTAACAATGGACATTAATAATATTTCAATTGTTTTCCCCTTATCCAACCAAAACCAATAATATTGGGTTAACATATGTTTCAGTTAAAAGTACATACAGAACGCAAGTTACAGGATCCAATAATCTAATTATGAAATTTTAAAAATTCGATTAAAAAAAAAGTTTTTTTTCTAAAAAAAATTTGGAATTGAACATATGAAGTGTAAAGATGAATGGTATATGCCATCTGATAAGTTGGGGGGTGGAGGGGAAGGGGGGTAGTGTATGAAGGGTATGGTTTAATGCCTAATTTATTATCACTGATACTCAATAAAGAATAGTACCGGATGTCCGAGTAACCGGATTAACAAACATTCCCAAAGAATTTTCTTTTCACAAAATGGAAAGATAGAAATTTGTGATTACAATGTAATTTGAACCTGGATCCACTATTTTATTGGACCCACATCAGAAACTTTATTCACTTAAAGTTGGAAATATAATCGCACAAGCAGTACACGCTGGACTAAGAAAGGCTATGTGTGTTTGATTCTTCAATTTGAATTAAATCACGTTTTTGTCTGTTTTTCATCATTCTTAAAACTTAGAGATGCCTTTTTCTACTTTTATATTTACAACTCATCCATGCTGACATAAAAGTAAAAATAAGAAAAAACAAAACAAAAAATTATGTTTGAGGTCAAATTTGGGATTAGAAGTGACATCTTACTGGGGCAAGGACAGAACAGTTCTAAATTTATTTTTCAACATATCGAAATTGAAAATGAAAGTTCCATCTTTTCACTAATGAAAATTCAACTCTGGCTTGAAGATTTTCATAAGTACTACTCAATAAATAGTTCGGATACACTTTAGATCTTGTTTCCTCTAGGTAAGTTTCCGTAGCCTCGAAATTTTACCGGGACCAATCCAAATAAATAAATTGTGCATTGCAGCGCGGTTAAATTCTATATTTCATTAAATAATAACTCTAATGACTGTAAACGTAACTTCAAGTGACCCTTCATTTAAAAAATGAATGTCCAATTGACGACACTACCCGTCATAGCTTTTTCTTGTCAAGTTTGAGTTGGATATCCATGTTTTTTTTTTTTGCTTATTATGAGGACAGTTAATTTTGACTGTAATTTTTAGCTTTTTACTTAATCAAACATCTTAGTTTGGTTCAACTGTACTGCAAAGATTTGAAGAAATATAAGTAAAAACCACAAAAATAAAGCCCCCCCCCCCAACCCCACCCACCTGGGGAAATTTTGTACGATGACTTCACAATTTATTTTTGCCTTTAGGCAGTAGCAGTACTGGGCACACCATCAGTAAGTACATAAGGCAACTAAATGGGGGAGAACGAAGGGGCAAAAATAGNCAGGTCTGAAGGAAATATGCATTTTAATCTAAAATTTTCCGTTCTTTCTTATTCTCTGGAATGATATAAGCTGTTATATATTATTCCGTTCTTTCTTATTCTCTGGAATGATATAAGCTGTTATATATTATTACCGCCTTTTGATCGACATTACCGACCTAAAGAGCGGGATGTTAAGTTACTTAACTAACCCTTGGGACAATAAATTAGCCCCCCTCCCCCCAATCGTAAAAAAACATTTAAGAAAACACTAATACCTGAATTATATGTTTAGGTCTGTATGCTGACTTTGACCTACGGAAGGTACGGTTGACCCAACTAACAGGGGTCAAAGAACCCACACCACCAGCAGTCATGTGACCACTTTTGTTATTGTTTTCTACACCAAGTAATTAATAACAATGGTATCCAAACAAAATTTAAAAAATCTTTAATTTGATAAATAAATTTTTTTTTAGTTTTAATCTTCAGTTGTGGAACTTTCCTTTGTGGAATTTTTTTAATTTCCTGAAGTTAAACGTGTATTTATCAATTGAAATTAAGATAAATATAAAAAAGAATATAATTGGTGCCTATATTATATGAATTATTAGGTTTCCACTTAAAATTATCACTACAAGCATAAAATATCAGCTAATTATTATGTTTCTAATGATATTATGTGTGTTTTAATTACATATTTTGAAGAAGAAAAAACATAGTTGTGTTAAATACTTTTTGCCAAGACTGCAAAGAATTTATAGTTGATATAATGCCTAATTGAGTTACAAGACAATCTTCTTAAGTTGTCTATACTAGTCGCCATATCAAACTGAGGGTTCTCCAGTTTATATTTGTGTTTATCCCGAAGCATTTTCACTGAAGCAATCATAATAAAATTACAAAAATGTAGTATAGATTTATATCCAGAAACAACAGTTTAGAAATATTCTGATTAATTTAAACAGACCTCCGAATTGACCCATGTAAATTCATTTAGAATTCAAAGGAACTGTTGATCAATCTCAGAGTTACCCTAAACCTTTAACTTTATCTTAGGAGAGAGGGGGGGGATAAAATATTTGAAAATTAAACCTTAAATATAATACTACTAATCTATATAATCCTTCGGTCTCCAGAAGGTTAATAAAAAACATTAGAAAACAGAAATTCTAAAATTTTCGCAAAATTTGAGTTTTTACTATTTTATAGCTGTTAAGATGTACCTTGTAAATCATTGAGGGAGAGGGGATAAGGTTGAAAAATCGAATGAGAAGATTTAAAGAAAGAAGTATATATGCAAACAAGTAGAATTAATGAAGACTGGTGAGCGTAAATAATGGAAAAAGGAATAATA